ACATTCCTAAAGAAAAGTATGTACTTTTTACACCATGCATTTTCCCTGACACCCAAAAGTACTCATTACATTTTGAATGCTTAGCAGGACAGGAAAATTGTCTAATTCACACACTAATCAATAGAACATCTCTGGTCATCCCTACTGCCTCTGATCTGGCGGACTCACTAAACAGTGTGAGTGCTGGAGAAAAATGGTGCCGTCTGGTTTGCTTAATATAAGGAATTTGAAAATATGTATTATTTTACTTTTACTTTTGATACTTAAGTATATTTAAAACCAAATACTTTTAGACTTTTACTCAAGTTGGAGTTTATTGGGTGACTCACTTTTATTTGAGTCATTTTCTATTAAGGTATCTTTACTTTTACTCAAGTAAGACAATTGGGTACTTTTTCCACCATTGCATGCCATCACCCAGCACATTGCGCTGCCATAAGCAAGTAACCATGAGTAATAACAAAGGGGTTAACGCACAGTCATGGTCAAAAGTTTTGAGAATGACACAAATACTAATTTTCACAAAGTCTGCTGCCTCAGTTTTGATGATGGCAATTTGCACATACTCCAGAATGTCATGAAGGGTGATCAGATGAATTGCAATTAATTGCAAAGTCCCTCTTTGCCATGAAAATGAACTTAATCCCCAAAAAACATTTCCACTGCATTTCAGCCCTGCCACAAAAGGACCAGCTGCCATCATGTCAGTGATTCTCTCGTTAACACAGGTGAGAGTGTTGACGAGGACAAGGCTGGAGATCACTCTGTCATGCTGATTGAGTTAGAATAACAGACTGGAAGCTTTAAAAGGAGGGTGGTGCTTGAAATCATTGTTCTTCCTCTGTTAACCATGGTTACCTGCAAGGAAACACATGCCGTCATCATTGCTTTGCACAAAAGGGCTTCACAGGCAAGGATATTGCTGCTAGTAAGATTGCACCTAAATCAACCATTTATCGGATCATCAAGAACTTCAAGGAGAGAGGTTCAATTGTTGTGAAGAAGGCGTCAGGGCGCCCAAGAAAGTCCAGCAAGCGCAAGGACCGTCTCCTAAAGTTGATTCAGCTGTGAGATCGGGGCACCACCAGTGCAGAGCTTGCTCAGGAATGGCAGCAGGCAGGTATGAGTGCATCTACATGCACAGTGAGGCGAATACTTTTGGAGGATGGCCTGGTGTCAAGAAGGGCAGCAAAGAAGCCACTTCTCTCCAGGAAAAACATCAGGGACAGACTGATATTCTGCAAAAGGTACAGGGATTGGACTGCTGAGGACTGGGGTAAAGTAATTTTCTCTGATGAATCCCCTTTCTGATTGTTTGGGGCATCCAGAAAACACCTTCTCCGGAGAAGACAAGGTGAGCGCTACCATCAGTCCTGTGTCATGCCAACAATAAAGCATCCTGAGACCATTCATGTGTGGGGTTGCTTCTCAGCCAAGGGAGTGGGCTCACTCACAATTTTTCCTAAGAACACAGCCATGAATAAAGAATGGTACCAACACATCCTCCGAGAGCAACTTCTCCCAACCATCCAAGAACAGTTTGGTGACGACCAATGCCTTTTCCAGCATGATGGAGCACCTTGCCATAAGGCAAAAATAATAACTAAGTGGCTCGGGGAACAAAACATCAACATTTTGGGTCCATAGCCAGGAAACTCCCCAGACCTTAATCCCATTGAGAACTTGTGGTCGATCCTCAAGAGGCGGGTGGACAAACAAAAACCCACAAATTCTGACAAACTCCAAGCATTGATTATGCAAGAATGGGCTGCCATCAGTCAGGATGTGGCCCAGAAGTTAATTGACAGCATGCCAGGGCGGATTGCAGAGGTCTTGAAAAAGAAGGGTCAACACTGCAAATATTGACTTTTTGCATAAACTTAATGTAATTGTCAATAAAAGCCTTTGACACTTATGGAATGCTTGTAATTATACTTCAGTATACCACAGTAACATCTGACAAAAATATCTCATAACACTGAAGCAGCGAACATTGTGAAGACCAATATTTGTGTCATTCTCAAAACTTTTGACCACGACCGTAGTAGCTTGGAAAAAAGTATATGGCCTCAAAAGATGTGGACATACCACCCCCTGCTGGACTAAATCAAATCAAATGTTATTTGCCACATTCGCCGAATACAACACGTGTAGACCTTTCAGTGAAATGCTTACTTACAAGCCCTTAACCAACAATGCAGTTTTAAGAAATATAAGTGTTAAGTAAAAAATGGATAAGTAAAAATAACAAATAACAAATAATTCAAGAGCCGTAAAATAAAATAACAGTTGGGAGGCTATATACAGTGAGGGAAAAAAGTATTTCATCCCCTGCTGATTTTGTAAGTTTGCCCACTGACAAAGAAATGATCAGTCTATAATTTTAATAGTATGTTTATTTGAACAGTGAGAAACAGAATAACAACAACAAAAAAATCCAAAAAAACGCATGTCAAAAATGTTATAAATTGATTTGCATTTTAATGAGGGAAATAAGTATTTGACCCCTTCTCAATCAGAAAGATTTCTGGCTCCCAGGTGTCTTTTATACAGGTAACGAGCTGAGATTAGGAGCACACTCTTAAAGGGAGTGCTCCTAATCTAAGTTTGTTACCTGTATAAAATACACCTGTCCACAGAAGCAATCAATCAATCAGATTCCAAACTCTCCACCATGGCCAAGACCAAAGAGCTCTCCAAGGATGTCAGGGACAAGATTGTAGACCTACACAAGGCTGGAATGGGCTACAAGACCATCGCCAAGCAGCTTGGTGAGAAGGTGACAACAGTTGGTGCGATTATTCGCAAATGGAAGAAACACAAAAGACCTGTCAATCTCCCTCTGCCTGGGGCTCCATGCAAGTTCTCACCTCGTGGAGTTGCAATGATCATGAGAACGGTGAGGAATCAGCCCAGAACTACACGGGAGGATCTTGTCAATGATCTCAAGGCAGCTGGGACCATAGTCACCAAGAAAACAATTGGTAACACACTACGCCGTGAAGGACTGAAATCCTGCAGCGCCCGCAAGGTCCCCCTGCTCAAGAAAGCACATTTACATTTACATTTTAGTCATTTAGCAGACGCTCTTATCCAGAGCGACTTACAGTTAGTGAGTGCATACATTATTATTTTTGTATTTTTCATACTGGCCCCCCGTGGGAATCGAACCCACAACCCTGGCGTTGCAAACGTCATGCTCTACCAACTGAGCTACATCCCTGCCGGCCATTCCCTCCCCTACCCTGGACGACGCACATATACAGGCCCGTCTGAAGTTTGCCAATGAACATCTGAATGATTCAGAGGAGAACTGGGTGAAAGTGTTGTGGTCAGATGAGACCAAAATCAAGCTCTTTGGCATCAACTCAACTCGCCGTGTTTGGAGGAGGAGGAATGCTGCCTATGACCCCAAGAACACCATCCCTACCGTCAAACATGGAGGTGGAAACATTATGCTTTGGGGGTGTTTTTCTGCTAAGGGGACAGGACAACTTCACCGCATCAAAGGGACGATGGACAGGGCCATGTACCGTCAAATCTTAGGTGAGAACCTCCTTCCCTCAGCCAGGGCATTGAAAATGGGTCGGGTCGTGGATGGGTATTCCAGCATGACAATGACCCAAAACACACGGCCAAGGCAACAAAGGAGTGGCTCAAGAAGAAGAACATTAAGGTCCTGGAGTGGCCTAGCCAGTCTCCAGACCTTAATCCCATAGAAAATCTGTGGAGAGAGCTGAAGGTTCGAGTTGCCAAACGTCAGGCTCGAAACCTTAATGACTTGGAGAAGATCTGCAAAGAGGAGTGGAACAAAATCCCTCCTGAGATGTGTGCAAACCTGGTGGCCAACTACAAGAAACATCTGTCCTCTGTGATTGCCAACAAGGGTTTTTCCACCAAGTACCAAGTCATGTTTTGTAGAGGGGTCAAATACTTATTTCCCTCATTAAAATGCAAATCAATTTATAACATTTTCGACATGCGTTTTTCTGGATATTTTTGTTGTTATTCTGTCTCTCACTGTTCAAATAAACCTACCATTAAAACTATAGACTGATCATCATCTTTGTCAGTGGGCAAACGTACAAAATCAGCAGGGGATCAAATACTTTTTTCCCTCACTGTACAAGGGGTACCAGTACCGAGTCAATGTGCGGGGGCACCGGTTAGTCCAGGTAATGGAGATAATATGTACATATGGGTAGAGTTAAAGTGACTATGCATAGATAATAAACAGAGTAGCAACAGCGTAAAAGAGGGGGTGGGGCTGGGGGGGGGACAATGCAAATAGACTAATGAGGGATGAACTGACACAAGCCCTTAAGTGAGATCTCATTGGACAGAAGGACTGGCTGACCTTCTGCTCTGGCTTTGGCGCTCCCGAGGGACTGACTGTGTGTGTGGAACATGTCGCCACAATTTTACAAACGTCCTTCAGATACTTATGAATCAGAAATGTATCAAATATGACTGATGATTCAATTTCTTGAGGGAAGCGGTAAGTATATCTCAGAAGTCTCTGCCTGTATCAACTTCACATGGAACATGTTGTACTAGGCTGTAATAGCTGTTTTAACTGTAGGCTACACTAGGCTTTAATAGCTGTTTTAACTGTAGGATGGGAGAGGAACAGAAGATTCAGAAGACTGCCCCTTGGGCTTTTCCCATACAAGGGGATCCAACCTGGTCAGAGGGGTGCATCAAGTCGAACACCTCGAGTCGCTGGAGACATTTGAAATACAGGATGATGACATAGTTGTTGTTACTTACCCACGCTCAGGTAAAACCATACACCTGACATAGGCTATAGGCATATACAGTACTTACTATAGAGTGACATATAGGCTACACTACAAAATCTATTGAAATCTGCATGAATTTAGGTCTTGTACTGTGAATGTGCAACATGATCTCACAAATGCCGTGATTCTATTTCTTAAAAAAATCCAGGAACTACATGGACGCAGTGTATTCTGTCTCTATTGCATCATGGAGATCAAATGACAGAGGGAAGTAACAAACAATCAATCCAGGAACTGGTGCCTTTGTTTGAGGACAACATAAAACAAATAAGACTACAACAACAAGACATCAACAAGAACCTTCGCGTCTCACTTACATTTGTCCTCGATCCCTCAAGGACTGAGAGACAAGGGAAAGGTAAGAGAGAGGGAGAGAGAGAGAGAGCGAGAGGAGAGAGAGAGAGAGAGAGAGAGAGAGAGAGAGAGAGAGAGAGAGAGAGAGAGAGAGAGAGAGTGAGGGAGGAGAGAGGGAGAGAGAGAGAGAGAGAGGAGAGAGGAGAGAGAGAGAGAGAGAGGAGGAGGAGAGAGAGAGGAGAGGAGAGAGAGAGAGAGAGAGGAGAGAGAGAGAGAGAGAGAGAGAGATATAACATGCAATGAATGCAAAACAGTAACTGCCAGTGAAACCCATATGGTTTGACTATTTTTTAAATAAAACTGTACACAGACAGAATATGTTTTAAAAACGTCTTCAGAGACTGAATGCCAGCAATGAGATTTGACAGATTATTTAATTTACATCAATTGAATATACAATCTACTGTATTATTTTGTGTATTGTTGTGTTAAATGTATATTGATAAGGCTGTATTCTAATTGTGTAAATTGTTTATTAAGCTGATCTACATAGCCAGGAACCCAAACGATGTTGCCGTGTCCTTATTTCATCTCCACAATTTCACGAAAGTCTGACTTTCATGAACCTGACTTTGATACATTTCTGATTAAATTTCATGAGGGGTGGTGGGGGGGGGGGGGTGGTGGGGGGTAAGCATATCTCAGAAGTTTAAACACATTTATTGCCTATTCAAAACATGTCCAAAGTGTCAACGTGAAATACCCCACACATTTTTCTTTCTTAGTTCTCGGGGGCTCTTGGTTTGATCATGTTGCGGATTGGTATGCTCATAAAGATGAATTTGACATCCTTTTCCTGACATATGAAGATATGATCAAGGTAAGTTAATTTCTATAATAGATAAAATTACATAACAGTGGATAATATACACTGAGTGGACAAAACTTTAGGAACACCTACTCTTTCCATGACATAGACTGACCAGGTGAATCTAGGTGAAAGCTATGATCCCTTATTGATGTAATCTGTTAAATATACTTAAATCAGTGTAGATGAAGGCGAAGATACAGGTTAAATAATAATTTTTAAGGGTGAATAATTCAGAGGGTGAATGGGCAAGACAAAATATTTAAGTGCCTTTGAACGGGGTATGCCAGGCACACCTCTTTGAGTGTGTCAAGAACTGCAACGCTGCTGTTAATTTTTTTTTTTAACAGTTTCCTGTGTGTATACAGAATGGTGTACCACCCAAAGGACATCCAGCCAATTTGACACAACCGTAGAACGCTTTCGACACCTTGTAGTCCATGCCCCGACGAATTGAGGCTGTTCTGAGGGCAAAAGGGAGGTGTTCCTAATGTTTCGGACACTCAGTGTATTGCTGAGACTAGTAATCAAACTATAACAATTGCTTTCAGGACACACGAGGAGCAGTTGTCAGGATATCAAACTTCTTGGGTAAAAAACTGGATGACCAAACCATTGACATAATAGTGGACAAATCCTCCTTCAAGAACATGAAGGAAGACCCACAGGCTAGACGTGATAAACAGCATCCAGCATTTTTTGAACAAAGTGGATCCTTTATTAGAAATGGTAGGGCATCTATGTTATCCACATTAATAAAGTCAATTTCAACTATTGGTTACAAAATTCAACAAGGAAAAGATCACTAAAAATAATGCCCTCAAAATACTGTCTGTTCTGTCTCTAACCAGGGACGGTTGGGGACTGGAAGACTATGTTCACTGTGGCCCAGAGTGAGAGGTTTGACGAGATCTACATGGAGAAGATGAAAGACCTGCCTCTTGAATTTGACTGGGAGCTGTGAAAATAGACATGTCCTGGCTACATGATGAAGGCCTTCATCAACTTGGCTGAAGATGTCAGCAAATTCATCCAGATCAACAACAACAAAAAAGTTTTGTTGTTGATCTGTAGTTGTCAAATTGTGCTCCAGTTGTGTGAATCACTCTAAAGATGTCACTAAAACATGTTTTGGATCTAGGCTGACTAGATTGGAGGAAATAGCTGCCCTGCTGCAATGATTGTGAAAATAAACACATGCAATAGTTTAACATACTTACAAAATATTATCTTCATAAAATGTTACTAGAATATGAGTAGATCTCTTATTATGATTTGCCCCATGTTTTGTGGAACTACAGAGTGAGGATATGGACTACAGTACCCAAAAGGCAATGCTGGTCTTCAGCCTAATGCGCAGCCTCATTTCGAGACAACCGATTTTGTGGTCTCTGTCTGTACTTTATTTATATAGCAAATGTAATCGTTCAGGTTGCAATAATGTAGATATGAACGATACTTCACCCTCTTGTGATACCTAGCTATCCGTCCATGATTTAGGTACTACAAACCAACGTTTACATTTTTACAGGCGACGAGACTTGTCTGGCCAGCTAACCGCATCAGCAATAAGGGGTTTGTTTTCTTTAATAACAACAACTAGTTAGCTACAGTAGCTATCCTCCACCCGTGTTGAAGGGAGAAATTATGTTATAACGTTATTTTTGTGGCAAACAACACCTGTAAACTGTCTGTCAGTGTCAGTCTGTCGAATGAGTTAACGGACTCAACACTAAACTAAAGCGATTTAGCTGTAAACATCTGTTTACTTACTTGGTAACTAGAGTTAGCAAGCACTGACATCAAGAAGACAAAAATGTGGCAAAGCGTTGGTCTCACTGTGCTGGTAATTGTGGCCACCCTTGTGTGCGCTTTGCTCTTCATGGTTTTTGGTAAGTAACAAAAATGTGTTGCGTTCGTTATTTTACAGTTTTCTTGAATGTTGTGAGATTAACCTTACTGAGATATGACGAGGACATCACGTCTGACACAGCTGCGAAATGTATCAGCTAACCGTTAACTGCAGTAGCTAGCTAGCGTTGCCATTATAGCTAGCTAGCTACTGTACTGTGTACAACGTCATGAAGATCTAACGTTAGCTAGCAGCTATCTTTCTTTAGGGAGCGGTAACTGTGCAATACCTCAATACACATCATGTTATTATAGGTTTGTAGCTAAACCCCTCATGGCTGGTATGAATTGGATACATTTAAATCATTGATCCATATCAGTTGATATGTCTGGTTATTGTGCTTGAGCAGTGTTCGTTTAATAGCATCCAGTAAGTCGTTCTCCTCTACTTTTATCCCCTACAAGGGGAGGAGCCTGAAGGAGTCATGACGTGGCAATGACGCAGTTCCTTTGTTTTGCCACGTTCACCTGAAAGATGTTTCTGTGTTCAGTGCTAGTCGGAACTAGGAACCTCGGAAATGTTTGCATTGCAAATTGGTTGAACGCGGCACATGTATAACTACAACCAGTTAGCAAGTCGGAAATGTCTTAAGTTTCCTGGTTCCAATTAGCACCAGAACGCACCATTTCTACATTATGACTCACTTCCTTTATCCTACCTTTGTAGGCAGCATCAACATTGACCAAAACTTGAGACATCTGTTGCATTGTGTGACAAAACTGCACATTTTAGAGTGGCCTTTTATTGTCCCCAGCACAAGGTGCACCTGTGTAATGATCATGCTGTTTAATCAGCTTCTTGATATGCCACACCTGTCAGGTGGATGGATTATCTTGGCAAATATGAAATGCTCACTATCAGGGATGTAAACAAATTTGTGCACAATTTGAGATAAGTAAGCTTTTTTTCTCATGGACCAACACTTTACATGTTGCGTTTATATTTTTGTTCAGTATAATTTGTTTTGCTGACACTCCATACTGGACTGTATAGCCTACTTCCTACTTTCACCCCTATTTTAGAGACGTTTCTGCTTATAATTTCCGACATTTGGTAGGACATATTATAATTAGGCCATTTGTTTGTTAACTATAGTTGGATACATGCAGCTTCTCTTCTGTCATAACTTGTTGCCCCAGACGACTAAATAAAGTAGTGCTCAGCAGAATAATGTCTTACATCGATAGAATTAATGCATTAGTAATCTAGTTAACACCGGTAAAGTTGTCTGTTTTGTTTGTGGACTGGGGAGAAAACAACAATAACTCCAAAAAGTGGAAAGATTGGTCCTGTGCAAAATTTCCAAATGTCATCAGTTTGACTGGTTTTAAGGAAATGAAAAGCTGAGAAAATGATGAAACAGGTTTCTGACAAGACTTCAGTTCGTCTTGGGTGCATATTTTATGTGGTTGAAATACTGTCTGCTTGCATGACAGTGTCAAAGATAATTCATTACACACGTATTCACATTTTCTCAAGAGATGCTGAAAGAAACAAATCATATTTCTCCACTCCTGTTCCCAAGACAACATTAACATTTGTTGTATCATTTTACTGCAAGAAATGCATAATTCTGCAGAAGTAAATATTATATTACGCTACTAACCCATATGAACTTAAATGAGGAATATTCTCTTTTTATTAATGGATACAGGGATACTCGTGAGCAGGATATCAAAGGTGCATGTAAACAGCATATCCCAAATAAGACCTTAAGCAGGATATCAAAGGTGCATGTAAACAGCATATCCCAAATAAGACCTTAAGCAGGATATCAAAGGTGCATGTAAACAGCTTATCCCAAATAAGACCTTAAGTGGGAAATGAGCTACTATCCAGAATACTGTGGGCATGTAAATGTGGTCACTGACTCAAATACAACAAATTAATTGTTTGATTCTTACGCACAGTCAATGTTCACTTTCTACTGGGTGACCTTTGCTCTGTTTGGCCCCTCAGGTTGGTATGTTGTCTGGCAGCTCTTCCTGTCCAAGTTCAAGTTCCTGCGTGAGATGTTGGGCGACACCGGCTCTCCGCAGGCCGAGACCGAGCCGTCCGAATCCAAGAGCGAGCGTACCTCTCCTCCAAACCCACGCCAGAGGCCCAAGACTGCCCGCCAGAGGGCCGTTCCTCCTAATAGCACTACATAGATGACCTCACCCGTCCTCTGTCAGCCACACCCTGTCCTCCTGTTCACCAAACCACCCGTCCTACTAGGAAACAGTGGTGGACCAAACGAAACCCCTTAATAAATGGCAAGATGTCGAATGCCATACTACTCCCTCTCCTGATGAAATCCACCCCTCCACTCTGCACTACCTAAGGACATCCTTGTCGATGACACTTGACACTCTACTTTTCTCTCCTGGACACGCTCTTCTTACTAGACTAGGCACGGCTGCTGATGTTATAAAGGGACAAGCCATCAAATCATGGAACATTCTGTAAGCCACTTGTTCATGTTTCAAATATGTATTTTAGCTGTTCACGGTGTACGTACTGAGCAGTCTCTTCACCTGGCCTTCACTGACACTGCAACATGGTCAGCTCTGACTGGCTGACACTGCAACATGGTCAGCTCTGACTGGCTGACACTGCAACATGGTCAGCTCTGACTGGCTGACACTGCAACATGGTCAGCTCTGACTGGCTGACACTGCAACATGGTCAGCTCTGACTGGCTGACACTGCAACATGGTCAGCTCTGACTGGCTGACACTGTAACATGGTCAGCTCTGACTGGCTGACACTGTAACATGGTCAGCTCTGACTGGCTGACACTGCAATACGGTCAGCTCTGACTGGCTGACACTGCAACATGGTCAGCTCTGACTGGCTGACACTGCAACATGGTCAGCTCTGACTGGCTGACACTGCAATACGGTCAGCTCTGACTGGCTGACACTGCAATACGGTCAGCTCTGATTGGCTGACACTGTAACATGGTCAGCTCTGACTGGCTGACACTGTAACATGGTCAGCTCTGACTGGCTGACACTGCAACATGGTCAGCTCTGACTGGCTGACACTAACATGGTCAGCTCTGATTGGCTGACACTGTAACATGGTCAGCTTTGATTGGCTGACACTGCAATACGGTCAGCTCTGACTGGCTGACACTGCAACATGTTCAGCTCTGACTGGCTGACACTGGAACAGGGTCAGCTCTGACTGGCTGACACTGGAACAGGGTCAGCTCTGTTTGGCTGACACTGGAACATGGTCAGCTCTGATTGGCTGACACTGGAACATGGTCAGCTCTGATTGGCTGTCACTGGAACATGGTCAGCTCTGACTGGCTGTCATGCTGCTGACACCTGCATGGGGAATCCGTTTCTCCAATATCAGACAGCTGAGTGTGAATTCTCTGTCATGACGGTGTGTGTGTGTGCGTTTATGAGAGTGCGTTTATTTGAACATACGTATGTTTGTAGTAAAGCCTATATTCTGACACAGACAAACCGTTTTATAAAACAGGCTCATTTGTTATCATTTACTTTAAAAAAAAACTGCTAGAAGAGAAACTGGATGAAACAATTTGCATAACTGACAACCGAAGTTCCTCGACGCCAGTAAATTTCACTTTATTTGTAACAAGTGCAATGAAAGGTATGTTTTTTTTGGAACTGCTGACTACCGTTAAGACCGAGAGGGTTGTAATAACACCATGAAGACAATGTCCAGGGGCTGTATCCGTCTCAGTGTAGGAGTGTTGATCTAGGATCAGTTTTGACCTTTTAAATCACATTGAATACAATGACATGGACAGGGGGGACCTGATCCTAGATCGACACCACTACTCTGCTACGCTTTATACACAGAGCTCCCTAGGAAGGCAACAAATAGGCTACCTGATCCTAGATCGACACCACTACTCTGCTACGCTTTATACACAGAGCTCCCTAGGAAGGCAACAAATAGGCTATAGCTCATTTCTCTGGCTAGCTAGCCTCCCAGAGGTGTTAAACCGGGGGTGTATTCAATATAAACCAAACGGAAGCGAACAGCTGAAACGGGGAGGACCTAACCTGAACTAGTCCAATAAGAAACATTTGTTTTTTGTTTTCTGTTGCAAAAACACTTTGCTACGGTGTGCACTAATGAAAACGCCCCTGCGCTCCAAGCTACAGCTATCGTAATGCCCTTCCCAGTGGTGTGTGATCCTAATAAGTCAGCGCTCCTACTCTGACATGGTTGATACATATGGCCCCAGAGCTCCCCAGGAAGGCAGTAGAATAGGCTAACTGCAGCTCTGGCTAGCTGGTTCCCGGTAGAGGTGTAACCTGGGCTTTAAGCTACAGCTGTAGTAGAAGGCCTCTCCCCAGTAGTACCCTGAGCCTCGGTACCACTGCCTGCCTGTAGATGGCATCCTTTCCTCTAGTTGGTCACATGGCCTCTGATCCAGTTATAACCCTATATAGCCGCGCAACATTGTACAAAAAAAACAAATTCAATTCTATGTGGAATGGTTTTTACATGTGACGCTGGTCAAATTTCAAGTTTGTTTTGGCTATTGCTGTAATTTACCTTCATAATAAATATATTTCTTAAACTGTGTAGAAATACATTTCTATGAATTTCTTTTTTGCAAAGTGTGATAACTGGTAATTTAAGAATATAGCATTGACATAGGCAGTTCTTTAGGGAAATTGTAATCATAACATTTTACTGTAGGTTCAATCTGATAGATTTCTTAGTGTGTTATTGTGCCTTACACATATACTGCCTGAATTCTGACATTATTTCCCTCATACTTTTGAAAGTGAGTCTTCCTTTGACACTTGATAACTCTGTTTCCCCCCATAGACTTACATACTGTGGGTTCCCCCCCCCCCCAGTCACACTCATGTCATATCTGCTTACAGTGAGTGAACAACATGAGGCAGTATTGTCCAGCATAGCAGAACGATGGCGTAAATCAGTCTTTGAAAGAGTTTGAAACCAGCCAGTTAAAAACATTTCAGATGCTATACTGTGTGATGTTGAAAAAAAATCTTGCTATTATTTGTTATGAGCATCATTGACAGTTAAATGGGCTGAAGTGACTCTGTGCAGATACTCAACAACACTAAAGTAAAAACATTCAAATTCCCAGGCATCCAGCCGTTACATCCCTCCACATCCGACAGATGCTGCTAATTGCAAAACCACACTGAAGTAAATGGCCTTTGAGGCTTTACGCTCTCAAATGCTAATGAAGGTACTTTGTATACTCGTAACAGTGTGTTTTGCGAGCTACTCTCTGTCTGCACCTGGGCCGTTTTAAAGAGCAGCGGGAGCCCATGCTGAACAACAGCAAAAAAGCTGTAATTTCAGAGCCTGCAAATTCATTGCAGGAAATGATTGTGGTAAGCCAAGGAAATTACATAGACTCTCGACTCTGTCAGTCGCTCTTGAATTTCTATATATATAATAAGGTCCGCCAAAAGCAAAAACCTGATAAAAAATGAATTTATATGAATGCTGTAAGTACAGAAATTGTTTGCACGTGCGAGTACAAAAACGTGTTACACGTGCGTGTTCGTGGGAGTCTCAGCTTTTCATAAATAGCTTTTAAAATAGTTTGTAGCTCAAACCATTCTGACTCTACAGACGTTTTTGTAAGAAGGAACAGGCCCCGGGCCCCTTCGGGATCCGCACTCGTCTCACAAACACTGCTTTAGCTCAGCCCCCGTTAATCACACAGACTAACGGATGCAGACGAAATCAACAAATCCAATGATAGAACCCACAAGCTCAAACACACAATGTTTTTTAAAAGTGGTTAGAAGTCCTAAATCACGCCGGCGCGATGGTGGGATTCATTGGGTTAACCGACCTTGTAGTGATTCTTCACTCAACAGACAGGTGAACATAATAGCTGACTCGGTTGGCTGTTGGCCAGTTATCCTGTACATCCCTCACTCATAAAATCCCCATACATCCAGCCAAACACCTGTTTGGAATTTCCTGTCAGGTCAGGACTAGACCTTGTCTCATTGAGGAGCATAGACAACTGCCCAGGGGAGAGCAGAGCACAGCTTAATCGATCTGTCTTTCTGAGCACCAAGCTTGCCTGCATGACCCACTGTTGGTCCTACACTGTGTGCTAGTGGTGGCAAGCTGCCTCCTTCCTCCTCGCATCCCACAGACAGACAGGAGCTGCTCTTTCTTTCTTTCTTTCTTTCTTTCTTTCTTTCTTTCTTTCTTTCTTTCTTTCTTTCTTTCTTTCTTTCTTTCTTTCTTTCTTCTTTCTTTCTTTCTTTCTTTCTTTCTTTCTTTCTTTCACCCCCTAGGTGAGTTTAGTTTGTCCCAAATGACACCCTATTCCCTGTATAGTGCACTACTTTGGGCTCTGTTCAAAAGTAGTGCGCTAAATAGGGACTAGGGTGACATTTGGTTCAAAAGTAGTGCACTATATAGAGAATAGGGTGCCATTTGGGATGTCACCCAGGACTATCTGTTTTAGGAGTAGCGCGACAGCACCGAACTCCAGTCCTGAAATAGCTCATCGTCTTTCCAGTGTCCAGGTCTGCAGGTTAACTCAGCCATGGGCCATTTCTTTCTCTTGTTTCTGAGCCAGCGACTAGATTTTCCTGGATGCCATTTTTATCCCGAGGATAAATCAGAGCAGAATCTTGTCAGCCAGGACCTGAGACTTACTTGGGGGAAGGACACATCCTCTGCAGTCTGGGTTGAATGAAAAACCTTCTAAAAAACCATTCCAGAGCAGATTCATTTTCTCTTCTCTTCCACTGGGATAACAGTGAATGGAATGGAATCATTTTCTCTTCTCTTCCACTGGGATAACAGTGAATGGAATGCAGTGGGTGATTAAACCACATATGGCTTGTTAAGAGCAAGACTCTGTGTGTTCAGAGCCCTTTAATGAGGTTTTCTGATGGGGTTGGTAGTAGTCTCAGAGAGTATCTAGTCAGGCGTATAGGCATCTCCTTCATAGCCCTTATAGCTACAGCGCCACCTCTCCACAGGGACAACCTATATATAACGTATATTTCAGCCAGGCTGGAATGAAAAGGAGGGACAGAAGAAGGATAGGGGGAAACAAAATAACGGTTGTTTTGAGCTGTATTTTAAAGGGGCAATCAGTAGTTGCTACGTGCATTTTTGGACTTACAAATGAATAATATGTACCCATTGATTCTTGAAGAATATAACTTCTAAATGCCTCATGAGCACAGTTCAACTGTCGTACCCCATCAGAAACCAAAATATAAGGTTGTTTTACTCCAATGTTTGTAAACAGAGTAAAGGTAAACAAACAATGTATAGCCTGAAAACATGGTTACAACTATTAATGTTGATATCATGGATGATCAGTCCTATCATCCATAGCTCTGTCTATTAATTTGAGAGTGGTTACATTTCTCCTGTCCCATCCCTCAGCTTTTTACCGAAACAGTGGCGGTGTTGACGTTTTGTTATTGTTTCAACTGCTGATTTCCGCTTTAAGGCCCTGTGTGCACATCCAACCCACAATGCCGTTCATTTGAAGCTTTTGCGCTATATGCCATACCATCTTACATGGTTTAGCTGTGTACTGCTCATCAACAACTATGTTCTGACCCTATCCACTGTTATGACACTTTCTAGATGAAAGGAGAGAATGCTAAAGATAGTTCCCAGATCAAGAGCAGTAGGACACGTGTAATGTTCTGTCCCCCCTATAACCCCTCTCCCATCCACTGACTCATGCCATAAAGGATGTTCCACAGGCTAACTAAAGGATGTTCCACAGGCTAACTAAAGGATGTTCCACAGGCTAACTAAAGGATGTTCCACAGGCTAACTAAAGGATGTTCCACAGGCTAACTAAAGGATGTTCCACAGGCTAACTAAAGGCTGATCATTTGGCATGGATGGGCACCTTTCCACTGGCCCTGCCCCGCCCCGCTTACCGTGAAATCCTTTTATCCCCGTCTTTCATCGTCCCCTCTGAGGCTTAGATGATATTGAGACATCCTCGTTGAATATGACATGGAATGGAAAATATCATGTGAGTGTAAAGGACGTCACGCGTGCTTTAGTGAGTAGACATTGTCACCCTGATGGGGCTCCACCACCGAGGACTTCCAACCCAGGATCCTCCTCCGGATCCTCTGCCGAGCTTAGCACACGTGACCAACCTCCTAAAGCATCTTACCAGTTGGCGCAACGCAAAAAGCTTTATTATTCGCTGGCCCCATGCCATGCTACATGACGGATCCAAGAGGATAAGAGAGAAGAGGCAACTTATCTTGATGTTAACATATGAACTGCCATATCAGTTATGATGTTAACATATGATCTGCCATATCAGTTTATGATGCTTAACATATGATCTGCATATCAGTTATGTTAACATATGATCTGCAGTTATCAGTTATGTGTAACATATGATCTGCCATATCAGTTTGATGTTAACATCTGAATCTGGCGTATCAGTTATGATAACTATGATCTAGCCAATCAGTATGATGTAACATATGATGCCGGTATCAGTTATGTGTTACATAGTCTGCCTTTCAGTAGAGTTTTTACACTGTCTGCCATATCAGTATGATGTTACTATGATCTGCCATTTCAGTTTGTGTAACAGATGATGCCAATCAGTTATGTGTTAACAATGATCGCCTATCAGTATAATTAACATATTATCTGCCTTATTAGTTATGATGTTAACATATGATCTGCCTACAGTTATGATGTTAACATATGATCTGCTGTATCAGTTATGATGTTAACATATGATCTGCTATCAGTTAGGATGTAACATATTATCTGCCATATCAGTTATGATGTTAACATCTGATCTGCCTATCATATGATACTATATTGATTTCATTTTATGTTTATATGATTTTTGCAACAGTTGATGTTAAATAGATCTGCCATATCAGTTATGACATATGATCTGCGTTGTTTTTATGATGTAAATGAGTTGCCTTCAGTATGGATGTGAACCATATGATCTGCGTTAGTATGGATGTAACATATGACTGCGTATCAGTATGTGTTAACATTGATCTGCCATATCAGTTATGATGTTAACATATGATCTGCCGTATCAGTTATGATGTTAACATATGATCTGCCATATCAGTTATGATGTTAACATATGATCTGTCGTATCAGTTATGATGTTAACATATGATCTGCCGTATCAGTTATGATGTTAACATATGATCTTCTATACATCCGTTATGATGTTAACAAATGATCTGCCATATCAGTTATGATGTTAACATATGATCTGCCGTATCAGTTATGATGTTAACATATGATCTGCCGTATCAGTTATGATGTTAACATATGATCTGCCGTATCAGTTATGATGTCAACATATGATCTGCCATATCAGTTATGATGTTAACATCTGATCTGCTACATCAGTTATAATGTTAACATCTGATCTGCCATATCAGTTATGATGTTAACATATGATCTGCCGTATCAGTTATGATGTTAACATATGATCTGCCATATCAGTTATGATGTTAACATATGATCTGCCATATCAGTTATGATGTTAACATATGATCTGCCGTATCAGTTATGATGTTAACATATGATCTGCCTTATCAGTTATGATGTTAACATATGATCTGCCGTATCAGTTATGATGTTAACATATGATCTGCCTTATCAGTTATGATGTTAACATATGATCTGCCGTATCAGTTATGATGTTAACATATGATCTGCTGTATCAGTTATGATGTTAACATATGATCTGCCGTATCAGTTATGATGTTAACATATGATCTTCTATACATCCGTTATGATGTTAACATATGATCTGCTACATCAGTAATGTTATGTTAATGTGCAACATACCGTACATTTCTGATGTTGGGTGTTGTTATTCAAGGCCACACATGACTGGCACTTCTGTTCAAATGGAAACATGAGCTGTTTACCATCCGGTCATGTAATATCCATTTCATTTATTTCAAGTAACCACACCGAGCTCTGGGTGAATGTGAAAGATAAATACCAGGTTTTGGCTGTGAGTTTTAGTGTTGTTGCCAATATTGTGTACCAGGTCAGCCATTCAGGTCTCTAGTTACTGCTATCCAGGCAAACATGTCCACCTGTTGTGTGTGTGTGTGTGTGTGTGCAATAACATAGGTGATGTTTAACAAGGCTTGTTTATGTCATGTCATGTGCACTGTCTGAAAATAAAGTGGCGCCCACTAGTCTTCTTAGCAGTTAACAAACTTTATAACACAGTCATATGGGTAAGAACAGTCCTTTACTTTGTCTGTTGAGAGCCCTACCCTTTCAATAAAAGAGTGCGACATCAAACGATTTACACAAAGTACTGACATCATTTCCAGCAGTAGGGTGCGTCAATAATCTACAGGTGAAAAAAAAAAAGGACATGTCATCATCATAAGGTGCTTTATAATATATGAAACGGGAATGTAACGAAAATATGTCCAAGTCACCCTAAAAAGCCACATATATCATATCTATATATCATAATTAATTATATAAAACAATCTACACACAAATAGAGCCAAATATTTACAGAACAGCCCCAAAAAAAACTCTTAAGATTAACAACTAGCAATATATATATATATATATAGATATATACGGTATATACACATAGGTTGCTATGGTGAAATAGGCGGGACCAGGTAGTGACAACACAAACTATCACAAAGCAGCCATCTGAAGCAGCTGTTCTTTGAACTGTTGAGCGTGGTGTGAGAGATCCGTGACTCTGTCCACCATGTCCTGAACGGCGGCTGTGTTGGGGTAGTGCAGCGCGGCCGTCTTAGTGGCTCCCACCACAGTCTTCAGCAGGTCGCAAAGCACGTTGCTAGAGTTCATCACCCGGTTGGCCACCTCGGGCGTGGCTACTTGCCTGGACAGGGTGTCCCCGATGAACACCAGTTTGTGGGCGCTGAGAATGACAAACTTGCTGTGTGCCACAAAGATGCGGGGTGGCTGGCCGGTGCCCACGCAGCCAAAGAAAGCGTCCACGGCGTTGAGCAGCGTGACAAAGTGCTGCTGGCACTGCTCCGCGTAGAAGCCCAGCAACTGACGGTCCCGCCCACACAGCATCTGACGGGCCCCGCCTCCTGTCAGGGAGGGGGAGGCAGAGGAGGAGGAGTCTGATGGGGAGGAGGAGGGGCCTGTCGGGTGCTGATGGGAGATCCACTGTGTGATGTCGTTCTCCACCGGTTTGATCACCTCTTGCTCCAACTGCTTGAACTGGTTAATCTGTGAGGGTTAAAAGAGAGAAAGCGGATTAATATTTTGTGTTGATATTTCTTTCTTCATTTACACAAACTAGTTAAGTATTGTGGAGAGACGGGAGACGGAACTCTCTCACACACAATAAACATGATGAAAATACATCCTACCTGTCAATTTCATCATATTAGTACAAGCCACAAGGAATTATCATAATGTTCTAGGTACCGTCTATGAACCCATGCTAGAAAGGTCACCCACTGCGTGTTTGATTAAATAATGTGTGTTCGATAAATTATGTGAAAAGTAGGAAAATAATGTCTGAGAGTGGGCATATTTCTCCAGCCCCATCTCTCAGATTTATAGAAAACCAAGTGGTGGGGCTACCATTTTGTTGTTTCTCAATTAGAGGAGTGGGCCTTTAATATTGTAACTGTAGTCCATGCAAAAAGACAAAGAAAATGTGTATGCATGACCAAGGTACGGTGGCCCAGACTGGCCTAAAAAGAAAAGAAGAGAAGAGTGGAGTGGAGAGAAGAACAGAACAGAATAATAGTATGCCATTTAGCAGACGCTTTTATCCAAAGCGACTTACAGTCATGCGTGCATACATTTTTGTGTATGGGTGGTCCCGGGGATCGAACCCACTACCCTGGCGTTACAAGCGCCCAGCTGAGCTACAGAGGACCACAAATAGAACATAACAGAGAAGAACAGAACACAGAAGAACAGAACACAGAAGAACAGAACAGAACACAGAAGAACAGAACAGAACACAGAAGAACAGAACAGAACAGAGAAGAACAGAACAGAACACAGAAGAACAGAACAGAACACAGAAGAACAGAACAGAGAACAACATAACAGAGAAGAACAGAACAGAGAAGAACAGAAAAGAGAAGAACAGAGATGAACAGAACAGAACAGAGAAGAACAGAACAGAACAGAACAGAACAGAGAAGAACAGAACAGAGAAGAACAGAACAGAGAAGAACAGAACAGAACAGAACAGAGAAGAACAGAACAGAACAGAACAGAGAAGAACAGAACAGAGAAGAACAGAACAGAACAGAACAGAGAAGAACAGAACAGAACAGAGAAGAACAGAACAGAACAGAGAAGAACAGAACAGAAACAGAACAGACATCAATTCAACATCTATTCCAAGTTGGTTCAACGTAATTTAATTGAAATGACGTGGAAAAAACTTTGATTCAACCAGTGTGTGCCCAGTGGGAAGAGGAGAACAGAGCAGAACAGAACAGAGAAGAACAGAGCAGAACAGAGAAGAACAGAGCAGAACAGAACAGAGAAGAACAGAGCAGAACAGAGAAGAACAGAACAGAACAGAACAGAGAAGAGAGAGAAAAAAACCTTCACCTGTTCCTGTCCCAGCTGCACCTTGCTCTGTTTAATTATGTTCTCTTTCTCCAGAAGCACTTTCTGCTGACGCTCAAAGTCCTCTTTTCCCTGAGGAGAAACAAGAGTGAGGAGAACTCAACTAAGACAGCAGACTTAAACAGCAGAGGGTAGGTACATACAGAGGGTAGGTACATACAGAGGGTAGGTACATACAGAGGGTAGGTACATACAGAGGGTAGCTACATGTATACTCATTAAAATACATACCCTCATTCAACCTTTACTTTTATTCCCCTCGATTAAGATCTGCCTCTTCCTTGATGAACATATGGTACAACCCAATATGCTGATACAGCCTGACTACCTCAACACTTTAAACAGCTAGCCCACACATCCTGAATACCACCAGATCCTCACAAGGGGTCAATAAGGCAGCAACACACCTTAGAAGCTGTGTAGGAATTCCACATCCAAGCTCTCACGCATACACCAGGGATTATGTCTTAACACGAGGGGCTAACATCTTACCTAGCTACCTTTTTTGTCTTCACTAGCTAACATAAGTTGAACGCTCGACTGTAAGTTGCTCTGGATAAGGAATGCGTCTGTTAAATGACCACAATGTCATGTAAATGTAACATCTGTGTGGTAGGTCGGGCTAGAGTCAGAGTCAGTCGTACCTGCAGATGGACGTAGTCATAGTCCTCCATCCAGCTCTTCACACACTTCTCACTATTGTTCATGTTGCCTTTGTCTTGGTTGTGGCCCCTGTAGTTATCCCTGTCTGAGGGTGGAGAAGTCTGAGGGTGGATAACGGCCTCCTCGGGCGTGCCACCCTTGCGGTAGGAGGACCCGTTCGTGGTGGGTGCCCGTCTGAAAAGCAGCTCAGCGTTACCCCCCACGGAGGAGGCCAGCTGTTTGGCGTCGTTGGGCACCGTCCTGGACACCATGACAAAGCGATCCAGGTCGTCATTCTTGATCTGGTGCTTGGAGGCGCTGGAGATGGTCAGGGCGTTGAGGGCCCAGCCGCAGTTCTCCAGGCTTTGGTAGGTCTGCAGGATGATCTGCTGGGAGTCCTCCAGCCTCCCCAGCTGCCTCCTCAGCTTACTGTGCAGACTGGGGTCCGACAGGGCAGTGGCGTTGGCCGCAGCACCCCTCCCAAACACCACGAAGTCTGCCAGGGCCGCCCGCACCCGGTCCAGCACGGTGCGCAACTCGTTGCTATGGCGCTCCATGAAGGGGTAAGTCCTCCAGTGGGGCGAAGAGGCCAGGCTCTGCAGGGCCCCGACCGAGGCCTCTACAGCCTGCTGCTGGCGGCACAGCCTCTGGACGGCCTGGTCCACATCCAGGGCCGGTCGGCCCTCAGCGCTGGAGACCGTGGAGGTGGAGGTGGTGGACATGGAGCTGTGTGTGGAGCCCGTACTGGAGAAGGACAGGCGATTCACCCCGTCCGTCACGTCCCCCAGAGCAGGGGGGATGTCATATATGCCCTGGCCCTTCCCCCTGTCCCGCTCCTGGGGGGTGGACTGGCCCTTCCCCCTGTCCCTCTCCTGGGGGGTGGAGCGGTGCTGGGAGGGGGGCTGCTGCATCCCCCTGGGGATGTCATACAGGTCCCCCCGAGGCCCCGCCCCAGAGAGCTGGTGGGCGGGGGGCGGCACGTCGTAGATTCCCTCGTTGTCATTAGCGACGGGGCGTTGGAGGTGGTGGGGGCCGATTTGCTGGGAACTGGGGGGGAAGTCGTAGTTGGACTGTGGGGACAGGGAGGCTGAGGGTTTGGTGAAGGTGGGAGGGGGTACGTCATAGATGCCCTCCTGTTGTTTGTGTTGTTTGAGAGGCTGGGGAAAATCGTAGTTCCCCTCCTGGAGGACTGGGGTGTTCAAGCAGGGAGGCACAGAGTACACCTGCAGGGACAAGACAAGCATTTGTTGAGTGCCTCAGACTACAATAAGGATGGGAGTAGACAGCGATTCAACCAACAATGCATCATAGCTACAGACACACAGCTTATCCATATCAATAACATAGCTACAGACACACAGCTTATCCATATCAATAACGTAGCTACAGCCACACAGCTTATCCATATCAATAACGTAGCTACAGACACACAGCTTATCCATATCAATAGCATAGCTACAGACACACAGCTTATCCATATCAATAACATAGCTACAGACACACAGCTTATCCATATCAATAACGTAGCTACAGACACACAGCTTATCCATATCAATAACATAGCTACAGACACACAGCTTATCCATATCAATAACGTAGCTACAGACACACAGCTTATCCATATCAATAACATAGCTACAGACACACAGCTTATCCATATCAATAACGTAGCTACAGACACACAGCTTATCCATATCAATAACATAGCTACAGACACACAGCTTATCCATATCAATAACGTAGTTACAGAGACACAGCTTATCCATATCGATAATATAGCTACAGACACACAGCTTATCCATATCAATAACATAGCTACAGAGACACAGCTTATCCATATCAATAACAAGCACACTTTGTACCACATTATTTTAGTTAGATATTGAGGAACTGAAAGTACTGTTTAGTTTCTGTTGATTCTATATTTGCTAATCTAAATATGTTTACTCTCTATTCCTTCTCTATTTCTTCCCCATAATAACTCAGTATCACCTTGAATATGGCAAGCATTATAAGCAATAAACATCTAGCCCTTTAAAAACAGTATAGTCCTGACAGAGGTGGAATATGGATTGTACAGGACATGTCATGCAGCATGAAAGTGGAGCTGTATAAATAAAATGAGTGGGCTGTAAGTGATTTCACTCAGCCTTAAAAATCCACTCCTTAGTGCGAGATGGGCCGACCCCAAACTGTAATTAGGAGCGACGCAAATAACGAGGTCCCACATATTTCACGTTGTTACCAAGCAACTGATGGCCCTAAGCCTTGGGACAGGTCTGGACGTTCCAGGGAGTAATGTAAGACGGCCCAGGCTACGTCCCAAATGGGACCCTACATAGTGCACTACGTTTGACCACTCCTTTCGACCACAGCCCTATGGGCCCTGGTCAAAAGAACGCACTGTATAGGGAATAGGGTGCCATTTGGTACATAGCCCAAGAGTAAGTAATCATTTAGTCCTTGACTTTCCCTGCGGGAGGGTTCACAGATGGAGAGAGAGAACGCTACTCAGCGAGTTTTGCTCGAACACTTTTGGCAGGCAACGCTTTAATTTAGGGAACCGCGAAGAAGTCATAAATACGATCATTTGACATATTATTAATTTATTACCAGGCAATTAAGGGGAATACTAGAGCCTGTATCAATAAACACAGTAACATTTTCCGGACTTAAACGGCTACCGCTTCCTACAGGCCTTCTGTATGCTGTCTCTCTATGTGGGTGGTGTTTCTGTGTGTAGTATGAGTGGTCCTAGTCATACCCCTTGTGTCCGGGGGTCCATTTGAGTGGATGGAGGAATATCATGGACTCCCACTTGGGGGCGAGCATTCCCATGTTGTCCGGGATAGGGTGACCCCATCAGTTTCCCAGGAGGAATATCATAGACTCCCTCTTGGGGGCGAGCATTCCCATGTTGTCCGGGAGAGTGTGACCCCATCAGTTTCCCAGGAGGAATGTCATACACCTGGAAAACACAGCGACAAATCCCAAATCAGGATCCCATGGATGACATTCAATTGACATGGCAGAATTAGCTACGTGAAACACAGAGGTTGTGTCTGAAATTGCTCCCTGTTCCCTTTAAAGTGCACCACGTTTGGCCAGGGCCCTACACAGCCTCTGTGTTTCCTATACAGTAGCTAACCGTCTAGGGTTCCATTTCAGAATTGTCCTAACGGATTGAAATAGGGATTGCTATAGAATGTGTGTAGTTGAGTGAGACACCTACCCCCTGTGGTCTCATGGGAGGAACGTCATAGAGGTCCTGTTGGTTGTGCTGACCAGCGCTGTAGGCATAGGACTGTCCCACTCCTGTTGGGGTCACCACCTGTCCACACCAGGGAGGAGGCAGGAGAAACAACACATGACAACTGGTTCGTGACAGTTCCAACAGTGTCAGACCTACAAATGCTTAGCCTGTTCACCAGTCCGTTTGTTTCATGTTGTTATGCCAAGGAGTGGCAAGTAGGGGCATGATGGCACAAACAGACTGGTATCCAGGCTACCAAATGCTAGCCCACATACTGTATATTCACCCTGTATCTCATATGAGTTGTTCATGTAGTCCCTGAGTCACTGTGACTCTAAACCTGCGCATCTCTCTCTCCTGACTCCCATAGCTGGGTCACATTCATTAGAGCACATGGTAGTAAAACGTTTTGCAGCAGAAAACGAAAACAGGCGTTTCTTATAGTATTCCCCCCCCCCCAGACATTTTTCAGTATTTTTTCTTCTGTTTGGTGACTAGTGTATATGAATGACCCTGTTCTCTGTTTGTGTTCGAAATTGCACCCTATACTACTTTTGACCAGGGCCAAACGTAGTGCACTATATAGGTAATAGGGTACCATTTCATGGGCGGCGCACAATTGGCCCAGCGTCGTCCAGGGTAGGGGAGGGAATGGCCGGCAGGGATGTAGCTCAGTTGATAGAGCATGGCGTTTGCAACGCCAGGGTTGTGGGTTCGATTCCCACGGGGGGCCAGTATAAAAAAAAAAAAATATATATGTATTCACTAACTGTAAGTCGCTCTGGATAAGAGCGTCTGCTAAATGACTAAAATGTAAAATATTTGGCACGTAGCCTCTGTTCCCCAGTCAGTCCTCTCCTTATGTAACCCTGCAGCAGTAATAACGACTCAGACCAAATCTGTCCTGACTGTGCATGTCTCAGCCTATTTGCGGAGCGCCCTCCAAACCCAACCGTGTGATAAACAGAGGCCTGGCAAGCAAGGGACAATGGTGTGGGAGCCTGCTAGAGAGCCAGCCCCTTAGACAGCAGGGCTATGGCCAGAAATGTCACAGAAAAGCCATGAAGTGCATCCCAAATGGCACCCTATTCCCTATGTAGTGCACTACTTTTGACCAGAGCTCAGCCAACAGGACTGGGGCCAGAAACACCACAAAAACTAAAGCCATGAAGTAGGAGACTGAGCTGTCATGAGGTGTGATGCTGCAAGTGAAACAAGGAACGTCCCGGGACACCTTTGGTCCCAAGAAGGGCAGAAAGAAAAGGAAAAAAAAAAAAGGAAAAAAAAAAGGGCCCCAAAAGGGGCCCTTAAAAAATTTTTTTCCCCTTTTTTTTTCCTTTTTTTTTTTTTTTTTTCCCCTTTTTTTGGGGGGGGGGTTTTTTTTTTTTTTTTCCCCCTTTTAAATTTTTAAATTTTTTTAATTTAAATTTTCCCTTTTTCTCCTCCTCCCCTTTCCCCTTGGGTTTAAAACCCACCCTCTTTTACAAAAAAATCAAAACCCCCCCTCCCTCCCTTTTTTTTGGTCCAAAAACCCCTCCTCCCCGAAAATTTAAAACCCCTTTCCCTTTTCTATTTTAAAAAAACCCCCCCCTTTTTTTTAATATTTTTTCCCCCTTTTTTTGAAATTTTTTTTTTGATTTATTTTTCTTTTTTAAAAAAAATTTTTTTGTATTTACCCCCTTTATCTTTTAAAAAAAATATCTTTTTGTTTTTTTTTCCCCTTTATTTTAAAAAATTTTTTTGGGATTTAAAAAATTCTTTGTATTTTTTCCCCCAAAATTTAAAGGGTTTTCCCCTTTTTCTTTTTTCAATCCCTTTTTTTTGGTATCTTTTCAAAAAGAAAACCCCTTTTTTAAAGAAAACCCAAAACCAACCAAATTTTAAAAAAAAAAGCCCCAAAAAACCAAAGGGGGGCCCCAAAAGGAGCCCCCCAAAAACCCAAACAAAAACCCCCCCACCAAAAAAAACAAAACAACCAAATTTAAAACCCAAAAAACACCCCAGAAACAAAACTCCCCCCCTTTTCCCCCCTTTCCCCTCCCCCCCTTTCCCTTTTCCCCCCCCTCTCTCTTTCCCTTTTTAAAAATATTTTTTTTTGGGAGCCAAAAAAAATTTGAAATTTGGCCCAGCCCTGACCTTAAACCTTTTTTTTAAAAAATAATCTTTAAAAAAAAAAAAAAAAAAACCCCCCATCCAGTTGGAGAGAGAGAGAGGGAGGGAAAAAAGGGGAAAAAGGGGAATTCCTGGATCTCGATCCCCCTATCTCTCTTAAGGTATCTTTATCCACCGCCTCTTCTTCCTGTATCTCTTCGACCCCTCCTCTACTCTCTCGCTATACACCTCCTTTCTCTCCCTGTATCCATATATCCCCTCCTCTCGCTTCCTGTATTCTCTATCCCCTCCGCTAGGCCTGGAGCTCGCTATCTCCTACTGCCTCGCTCTCTCTGTATCTTCGATCCCCAGCATCTCTCTACCTGTAGATAGCTAGTCCACTCCCTCGCTCCGGTATCGCTCTATCCCCCTCATCTCTGCGCGCTGGAGAGCGAGAGCCCAGCCGCGCGCGGCGAGGGAGCGCGAGAGCCCCAGCGCGCGGGCTCGCGCGAGCGAAACGAGCGAGCCACGCCTCGCGCGGCCGAGAGCCCGCAGCCCCGCAGAGGCGGCCCGGAGAGCGCGCCACGCGCGCGCGGCAGGGAGCCGCGAGACCCGCCGCGCGCGCGCGGAGAGCGAGAAGCCGAGAACAGTCAGCGCGCGGAAGGGGAGCTCGCGAGCCACCGGAAGCGAGCGCCCCGGAGCAAGAGAGACACAAGACGAGAGCGCGCGCGAGAGAGGGTAAGCGCGAGAGCAAAAGACGAGAGAGAGGGAGCGAGAGGCACACGCCGAGAGCCGCAACAGCGACAGGGATCTCTATCCCCCTCTTCTCTCTCTCTGTATCTCTCTATCCCCCTCCTCTCTCTCCCTGTATCTCTCTATCCCCCTCCCCTCTCTCCCTGTATCCCTGTATCCCCCTCCTCTCTCTTCCTGTATCTCTCTATCTAGGGAATAGGGTGCCTATTTGGGACGCACACAGAGACAACAATGAAATCTCTATGGTCTCTTCTTTAGTCCCTGTGTAGCCGTTCTAATACCTCCTCTCATTGACAAATAATCATCTGAATGATCACAGGTATAATCCCAGCATAAGACCCCCTCCATCCACCAGTCTGAGAGAGAGAGAGAGGAGAGAGAGAGAGAGAGAGAGAGAGAGAAGAGAGAGAGAGGCTGAGAGGAGAGAGAGAGAGGAGAGAGAGATGGAGAGAGGAGAGAGGGGAGGGACGAGAGAGGAGAGACGAGGAGAGAGGAGAGAGAGAGAGAGAGAGAGAAGAGGGGAGAGAGAGAGAGAGAGAGAGAGAGAGAAGGTGAGGAGAGAGAGGAGAGAGAGAGAGAGAGAGGAGAGAGAGAGAGAGAGAGAGAGAGAGAGAGAGAGACATATAAAGACAGATGGAGAGGTATAGAGAGAGGGAAAGAGAGAAAATGAGAGTAGAGAGGAATGTCAACCCAGAGCCTGAGTGAAGTGCCTAGGTGAAGAGCCTGAGTGAAGAGCCTGGGTGAAGAGCCTGAGTGAAGAGCCTAGGTGAAGAGCCTGAGTGAAGAGCCTAGGTGAAGAGCCTAGGTGAAGAGCCTGAGTGAAGAGCCTGAGTGAAGAGCCTGAGTGAAGAGCCTGAGTGAAGAGCCTGGGTGAAGAGCCTGAGTGAAGGGCCTGAGTGAAGAGCCTGAATGAAGACTACTATAGCAGAACACCATATGGTTCTCAGCTAGCCAGATCTGTGCATCCTCTCCCTGTGTGACTTAAGGCATTCCTATCCATACATACACCATCCCATAGGACCTATATGGCCACAGACTAAACGTTTACTCACTATAGGTTTGTGTGAGTCAACCCAGCTCTGACTGACTGCAATAAGGCATCAAATCAAATCAAATGTTATTTGTCACATGCGCAGAATACTTCAGGTGTAGACCTTACCGTGAAACGCTTACTTACAAGCCCTTAACCAGCAATGCAGTTTTAAGAAAAATAAGAGTTAAGAAAATGTTTACTAAATAAACTAAAGTAAAAAATAAATTAACAATAACGAGGCTATATACAGGCATGTCTGTTATGGAGACAGGGGAACAAACAATCCTGCTACGTTCTATTTTTTCTCACTCACACACGTGTGGCCTTGGTTGGATGCCGGACACAGCAGCCAGTTAGTTAGAAAACGCCAAAGTCCCGGACTAATAGGTCCTTGTTGCTTTCTCCATAGTCCCTACTACTCCCTATGGTGTGACTTTGTGTGGGAAAGTTGCAGCGAACTGACATTGAATCAATCAATCAATCAATTTTATTTTATATAGCCCTTCTTACATCAGCTAATATCTCGAAGTGCTGTACAGAAACCCAGCCTAAAACCCCAAACAGCTAGTAATGCAGGTGTAGAAGCACGGTGGCTAGGAAAAACTCCCTAGAAAGGCAAAACCTAGGAAGAAACCTAGAGAGGAACCAGGCTATGAGGGGTGGCCAGTCCTCTTCTGGCTGTGCCGGGTGGAGATTATAACAGAACCATGCCAAGATGTTCAAAAATGTTCATAAGTGACAAGCATGGTCAAATAATAATCAGGAATAAATCTCAGTTGGCTTTTCATAGCCGATCATTAGAGTTTAAAACAGCAGGTCTGGGACAGGTAGGGGTTCCATAACCGCAGGCAGAACAGTTTAAACTGGAATAGCAGCAAGGCCAGGCGGACTGGGGATAGCAAGGAGTCACCACGGCCGGTAGTCCCGACGTATGGTCCTAGGGCTCAGGTCTCTCAGTTGGCTTTTCATAGCCGATCATTTAGAGTTGAAAACAGCAGGTCTGGGACAGGTAGGGGTTTCGTAGCCGCAGGCAGAACAGTTGAAACTGGAATAGCAGCAAGGCCAGGCGGACTGGGGGCAGCAGGGTGTCATCATGCCCGGTAGTCCTGACGTATGGTCCTAGGGCTCAGGTTCTCAGAGAGAAAGAGAGAACGAGAGAATTAGAGAGAGCATACTTAAATTCACACAGGACACTGGATAA